TAGCTCAAGTCCAAACAGGCCTTATTGTAGTCATGTATATGAGTATTTTGTAATTAATTGGAAGTTTAGAGCGTTTGGCTAGTAACTGCTAAAGTAATCGGAAACGTCGAGCGGTTTCTTTTCGTTTCAGTCTGTTATGAATATAGCTTCATATATTAAATGTTTACCAACTTCAATATAGAGCTTATCGCAGCTATATGAATAAATTGACATTTCTGTATAAAACAATTTAATTAAAGCTGTAAACTCTAAGATTAAGGTGTCCGAATATGACGTGATAATGGTTCTGGCATTTCTAACTAAGATAATAGTCAAGTGACGAATAAAATCCTAAGGTCAGTCGGCGTGGGCTGATCAACCAGCGAGGACAATTTAATGGTTCTAAGAATAAAAGTGTTGTTACAGAAAGTTGAGAAAATTAGTATGATTACAGACCATCAAAAGAATCTCAGGGATTATTTTTCAGTTATTTCAGCTGTGTCGGCGTTGCTAAACGAAAGTGGATGTGTTATAGACGAGTGAGGTATTTCATGACAAAATATTAATCGGATAAAGATATTTTTATAATTAAGAAAAATATATTCAATATGTAATTAAATCATATAAATAAGGGAATTAAAAAATATAATTTAATCACAAAATTTAAATATATACATATAATAATAATAATAATATTATCTTGTTTCCTGTTTTTGTGGAGATAATCATAAAATATATATAAACAAAATACATAACAGAAAGTATTAAACAAGTATAATAGTTGTGGCTTGGAATAAATACAACAATCTGAGACGTCTTGATAGTATTTTTTGTTGTTTTAAATTATTTTTTTTTATATTCTGTTGTAATATTTTGTTTAAATTAAATATTGGAAGAGAATGAAATCTTCTCCCCTGTCTTCTAAAATCTTTCAATGTCGTGAACAACTTTAATTTATGCCTTTTTTTTTTTTTATCGTATTGGAGACAATCTAGTAATACGTGTTTAACTGTCTGAGGTGTGTTGTCATATTTTTGGTGAACGCTTCTAGACCTCTGAGAAGGTACCCGTGTGTAAAAAGACAGTGTCCAATTCGCATTCGGCACAAAATTATTTCTTCCCTTCTCGATTTTCTGGTGCTTGCGGCCCATTTGTTGCACTCAGTTTTTATGTCTGATAATTTGACTCATTTTTTTTTCTATTGGTCTTCCCGATTTTCTAATATCTTTCATTTTCTCTAGTGTATCTTTTTAATAAAAATTAATAATCACTGCCAATGACCCTCTAGAGTAGAGGCAAACACAAAAAAAAAAAAAAAAAAAAAAAAAAAAAAAAAAAATTATTTAACGTGAGCGTTGTTTAATTTATTGTTCCACATCATAGATGTATGTTTTTAGATTCGTTTGTACTCATTAACATGACGCAATCTCGATCAGTAATCGTTGCGTGTTGACTTAAATGTAAATGTTGAAGATATTTTTATATTATTAAATGAATGGTTTATTTTTACAATTACAAAAAATCTTCATTCATAAAATATTTTATCGAAAAATACCTCGACATAATTGAAAAAGGCAAGTTAAATTTATGGCTGATTGATGACACGGAAATAAATTATACATTAAATCAACTATTAAAGCTGAAAAACTAAAAAAAAAATAATTATTTCACAATGGTTTATTATTTTTAAACAATTATACATCTAAAGTAAAATTACCTTCCTAGTGACAAAGAAAAAGAAATAAAAAGTGATTCCAATTATTGGACTAAACATTTTTTTTTTAAATCATCAGCAATATGCTAAAATAATTAGCATTATTCCAGTAACACATTCAAAAACCAAAAACCAAAACAAAGGATATAACTTTCGTAGTGTAACTTTAAAAACATCTAGAGACCATATCTTTACTTCTAATTGTCCGATTTTAACGATTTTTTTAAAAAGAAATTTCGTAAACTTTTAAATATAACTAAAAACGTAAACGAATTAAATAATCGACAAAAAGTGTATACTTTTTGAGTTATTCGGAATCAAATTTATCATCCCTAGTAACTTTTTTTCCAGCTCCTTTTCGTTGAAGTGTGTTATATAGATAAATTTAAAGGGCATCGAGAAAAAGACTTCAGCGAAGTTTCATTGAAATCGGTACTTTCGTTTAAGCGCTGAAGTCTATAGCAACGCAGGTTTTTCGGTCGCCATCTTGAAAGGAAAATACGGATAGAAATGTCGATGAAGGAGGATCATCCTCGGGTGACATCTAATTTTAAAGCCAATTTTGAAAATAATTGGTCCAGTGGTTTCGGAGAAAATGCGTGGACGGCTTACGGCGGACGGACAAAAATTTTTTTATTCGTTTTTCGAATTCTACGCATCCTGAAACGTTAAAACTCAAATTTCGAGAGGGGATTAAATTTTTCGTTCGATTAAAATGGTTCATTATTGAAAATAATAAACCAAAAAACTTTACAATAACATCTTGAATCAATTCAGTGAACGGTTAACTCTTCTAGTCAAAAGAGCCAAATATCAACATTACAACAACTGAAATTTTGTTTTATGAGTTGATCTTATTTTTAAGTGATACTGAATTGGTAGGTGCCTTGTTATTATTTAATCATGGAACTCTTAAGCTAAAACACTTCTGTTAAAAGCGTCCTCAATCTTACTGAGCTACGTTCCCTCAGGTAAACAATTTCCAAGTCTCCTATCCATTTATACCTGTATCATCTATCTCCATTCTTTCATCCTCGATATACTATTGATGTACTATTGATTGTACTATTGATGTACTATTGATATACTATTGATGCCATCTAAACATACCATTCTTTCGAGCTGAAGCCCCCCCCCCCAATATGGTAAAATATAACCATGTTTTACAGAAAAAAAATATTAAAAACTATCTCTTAAAGTATTCTTGTTAGTGTAATTACATTTAATATGATTTCAAGAACCACTTAAACACCATTTCATATATTTAGCTAATTTCTTTTTTTTTTTCTAATTAATTATTGTTATTGTTATCATATGAAAAGAAATACGTATATGAAAAAAAATCTTTCGGGCTGAAGCCCTCCCCAAAATTAAATCCTGGATCCGCTAGTGGTCATAAGCTGTTGGCATATGAAGATCTTAATGTAAAGTAATGTTTGTCACGTACCATGGAATTTTAGTCTTGAATGTTTTTATATAATAGTCGTTTTGGATGTATGTCCGTGAAGCGTTTGGGTTAAAATTGATAAATGTGTGTTCAGTTTATAATTTAGGTTTAATTCATCCTCAATGCTCCCTTTGTTGTAACAAATACAATCATCCATAACGATCTTAATGCACCATATGTTTCCGATTTAGCTCAATCCAGATACCTATTTTCCATAATAAACTTCTGAAACATCCGAACCCTCTCGTTTCCAACCTTGCTTCCTCTTTTATTCCTGATAATCCTCCGAGGCATCCGAAAAGAAGATGGCCTCGGAACCTTCTAATATAGAAATATAATTGGAGTGCTACCAATGGGTAGTTTCCCTTCATGTTATACATGTCATGTCACTTGTTTCATATTTACTTATTGTATTTATCATTTACTATAGTTCTAAATTTCAATAATAAAATAAAAAAAGATTTAATTTTGAGCGTCTTGAAAGACGTGAGTATAATAATCATAGTCTGAGGTTTAACGTTTTTCGTTTTAGGTTGATGTGTGGGTCCCATGTAATTTTTCTGTCAAATGTCAGTCCAAGATCATGTATTTTTTCTATCTGAGGAATTTGAGGATTATCATGGTAAATAGGGAGCAAATCTCGAGTAGAAGAGTGAAGGTAATGTGTTGGGATTTGTCTTGATTGAGTCGAATTTTCCAAATTTCGTACCAATCATTAAGTTTTGTTACATGATGCGAAGTCTGTGTAGATGTATGTAGGATTTTTATGTCTCGTTAGAATTGTATTGTCTGCTTAAGTCGCTGTAATAGTTCCGGTACTGTTGTCGTTTGTGTATATGCTGTATATGAGCGGAGCGAATACTTACATCTAAGGAATTCCTGTTAAATTTAGTTTAAAATACTTTATAAATTTTAAATAGTTTATTTAAACGTGTACGAATATTAATTTACTAATGCATTTTGAAATAAATATTTGTATAGAATGGTATTGATAAATTTATTTATTTATTTATTACTCCCTTCCTTGCCTTTAGGCTACACGGGAGTTTTCAGGGATGACATATCACAACGTATATGTCAGTACCTCTATTAAACGCCAAGTACCTTAACGATTACGTTTTGTTTTTCAAGACTCTTCTTTTTCCAACATTTTTTTTCTCACCATATCAGTTGAGCGGTCTTCCATTAGCAGGTCCTCTTCTTCCCAGATTAAAGTGTGAGGGTCCCAGAACAGTTTTCCACCCGTACACAAAATCTTTGTAATGCGGGTAGTTCTGCTCCGTCACTAACTGGGGAAATTCATCCTCCGTGAGGCCATAGACTACAATGTTTTTCATCATTCCGGCCCTTAGTCCATCAAAGGTATTGATAAATTGAAGAACAATCTATATTTGAAATTCTACTAGTGTCAGATTAAATTCAGGAACCGTTTCGTTCTTTCTAAAGCAGTTATTTTTATCCATCATTGAATAAAACGAAAAGGAACAGGATGTTATTCTGAGACTCGTTTTGTTAATTCGTTTCACCTATGACTTTACATGCAGTTACAGAGGTGCGAGTGGCAGCGCACTCTAGAAGAGCCATATGTCTCACGAGCCATAGTTTGCCGACCGATGGGTTAACTTTGGACGTTTACCTGTTAGTTAAACGCTGATAACCTTTATAATGATTCAATCAATGTGCAGTTCAACAATATTACAAGCCAGTTTGGATCGCCAAAATGTAACATACTACCGTTCATAGCAACTATAATGTATCTTCTACAGTTCCGAGCTATGTAGTTTTTTTAATTCTCCTTATGTTAACTTTATGTTTGCAGCTTATAATAATTTCCTTTTTTTTTTTTGTCTCTTGCAGATCATGATCAATATAAGCGGTGTCATTTCCGTAGCCCTGTTCTACCTGCTCATCTTGGGCGTGGGTATCTGGGCTGCCAGAAAGAAGCAAGCCGGAAATGACTCAGAAGAGGAAGTCATGCTGGCTGGACGCAGCATCGGCCTCTTTGTTGGAATATTTACTATGACAGGTAAATAAAATAAACTAACTTAAAACATTGTTTTATCTATAGAGGAATGTCTTGGGACATAGAACATATTTCAAAAATATTTTTGGAATTTATAGTATAATTGCAGCCTACATTTCCTATCTGCTACTGCAATGCATTTTATTTTGTAGTGTATTTTTGTATTTATACCACGAACATAATCCATGAATCTGAAGGTGCAAAGTCGTAATGTATACTCGAATGGAAATAACAGAGTCGTTCCGCTGATCAGTCACGTTGACATATTTTTCACTAATATGTAAACAAAACTTTTTTTTTGTATAATTACTGATGTTAGCTTTTCCTCCGACGTCTTGGTTCGAATCCTGTCAAAGTGGAAGAGAGAACTTTTCTACATTTAACTCGAGAAATACGTTGAATAAAATGTATTTTATGAAATAATGGCACTCTTTAGTTGTGTAACATAAGATTTTCTCATTCCCATTTTCTTTCTCAACGCAGTCTAGTTCTTCCAACTCTTCTCTTAAATAATAATAAGGCTTAGCGAACTCGAAGGTTTGATGCCGACACCACCAATCGCTTATTTCACAACTTCCTCCACCTTTTGCCGTCCAAACCCTGGCCCTTCAGATCGGCTTTAACGTAATCTTTCCACTTTCGCTTCGGTCTACCCCTCGCACGTTTACAATTCAGTATTGAAAATATTAACCTTTTAGGAATTCTTTTGTTACTGAGCCCAACGATTTTACAAGCCGCGATGTGATCCCCTCAATTATATTAACCGGATACAGTTCACGCAATTCGGCTGTGTGTAACCGTCTGAACTCTCCGGTTAACTCATCCTTCTTCGGTATATATTCTACTTAATATTATACGCAATACTTTATTTTCAAAATCCTGAAGACGTTGCTCATCCCCTAATTTAAGCGGCCATGTTTCGCATCTATAAAGAACTGTAGGTAAGATATGGTTTTATACATTCTAGTTTTTCTTCCGGGACAAGAGGCTCGAGCTAATTAATTTTGTCACAGAAAAATTTCGACGAGAATTTCCCGCCTTCAGCCTAACCTTAATCGCCTCTTCGATTTCGCTTTTCCTAGTTATCGTAAACCCTAGACAACTCTTCTCTTAGCATGAATAATAAACCACTCTACAATTACTGGAAATTGTAATCGATTTGGATCCCTTAGATACAGCATATTAGGCTCAGATAGAATCCAAGATTATATGGCTTCCTCGTTTGAATCGCCGCATTTTCTGGCTTTCATTAGGAAGACCAGGAGATTTGAAATGGATACTGTATAGATTTATTCATTGGATATTTGGGTAGGCACGAAGAGGGCGTAATCCTCTTCCCTCCACCAATACCAGTACCAATCCCTCGGGTATAATATCTTCATCATTTTATAATAGCGAGTTTAAAAAACTATCTGATCAAATATAGGAACTGAACAAAACCACAAAAGATCAAGGTTTAATATGTGAAAATGCCAATCCCTGAAGGGCGCAACTGAAAGGTGGATTACGTAACTCGAATCCTCTTTTACTTGAAAAGTTTTTGACTACTGATACTCTTAAAATCGTAATCTAATCACGAAAAGGGAACAACTACTTCTTTTGTGTTCAACGAAACACAAACTGAGCAGATTTAATTTCAAAGAAATTTCTCATTGAAGAGGGCATTGACAGGGCAAATTCCAGCGGTGATCAAGTTGCGAAAATGTTATTAGTTCTCTTTTATTTATTGAGTATTACAACAATATGTTACTTGGACATTAGTTATAGTGAGGTAGGATAACATTCACCCTATATGCACAAAAAATATAAAATGAATAGAAGCAAAATAACAATAAATAATAATCAAAAAGTATATACAATAAATAAAATAAAATAACCTAAAACTAATAAAATTAAAACTAAGCAAAAAACACACGCATACCTGTATAAATTAGTTAACTTAGTTAAAGAGAAATAAATGTTTCTATAGAAAATATGTTCAATGATAAAAACAATATGCATTGCAAAGAACTGTCATACTTTAAATTAATAGTAGCGAATTTGTATTTATAATAATTTAAACCAATAGTAAGGTTTTTAATATAAAATTAGTAAGGTTTATTAATATAAAAAAAATAAATTTGTACTGAAAGTAACGTAGAAAGTGAAAGTTGTGTAATAAATAGTACCAGATTTTTGGTTTTCTTCCTTACTAACGAAGGGAAGGAAACTTTGTATTCGTACTGAAGCTCAAAAAAAAAATAAAAATTCTCATAATCGAAAATTTCCGCTCGCGTTTTTTAGCTTAACGCTTATTTTGTAAAATTAATAAGATACCACTGACTTTTGTTGGGAATGGTGGTTATCTATACCTAGGAGGTTTTTTAAAAATTTAATTTAATTTTAATTTTAATTTAAAATTTTATTTAATACGTTTTGTGTTATTTTATTTTAGTTAGGTTTTTAAATTTAAAAAACAAATTATTTTTTAGTATCTCCTTTTTCCTTTAGTACTTATTTGGAGATGTCTACCGCAACTATTACCTTTTTTGAAAAAGAATTGGCCGGGGGGTCAAACAAATTCTAAATTTTTAAAAAATAGTTTTTTTAATTACGCAGACGTTTCGACCCACCTTGCAGGTCTTCATCAGGGCGTGGCATGTGGCTCTGCAGAAGACAGTTGATGAGAACAGTCTATTAACTGCAGACTCGTGGATTTGTTGTTTGGATTTTTCCATTTATTATATATTTTTTAAGCATGAAAAAAATGTATAAATCTAATATATAAAACTGATTAGCAGCCCGATTTGAAACATTCCTCTGACTTTAGACTTTATAACACCACGGTATGGCCTTTAGCAACCGAGCAGTAACCATAAATTTCAACCACTCCTGAAAACTGAAGGCAATAACGCGAGAGTAGCTTTTCTGAAATATAGCTTGCATTAAATATAAGCAAATCGCAGGAGACAAACTTTTAAGCATATTGAATTCGAGTAAAATGTATATTGCTTTTTCCAAGAAGAACTTTATATTGCTTTATCAAGGTCTGTTTTCGGAGAAAATCAGTAGATAATTATATCAAAAAAATGAAAATATAGTTTACGCTAATGTACTATAAGTTTGAAAAATATTTTGTAAAATGTATATCATAGTCGTCGATATATATTGGGACGGTACACCGCAATGAAGACGCGTCTTCCCATTACTTGAAATGATCTCATTAGTTTCTGCCAATTAAAATCTTAAATAAAATAAATAACTTAAAATCTTAAATAATCGTACTAACAAATAAATAGGAATAAATAGTTGCACTATTATTATTGTATATATTTCGGTACTTGTCTGATAGCGGGACAGGACCGATTGGTATTTGCCAATGTTCATAACCAGAACAGAGCCCCATAATCGTTGTTGATCAACATGATCAGTTGATGGATCAACAAAATTATAGCGGTGATTCACCTGGAAATGATTATTGTTTGCTTTATTCAGTTGTCGGGTGTTGTATCCTTTCCAACAGTCAGAATTAATCTTGCTTCCCTTTTCTATATCGTTTTTAATACCTTGTAATAAAGTTGTTGCATTTCTGTCTGTTTAGGCAAACTTTTCCAATTATCGCAAAATAACTCTCATGAGTTTCATTAAGGCAACATTATAAATTTTAAGGCAACATTGTAGTTTTTAAGCAGTGGACTGCATCTTAAGGGATTGGTAGGTTCATGATTGTGTAAAAAAAATAGCTTACCGTCTATATGCCAGCCTACATATTTTTTACCTGGAGGGTCCTTAGTACGTGACTTCTTGTGTTGGAGATGGTGCTTGGCCAGTGACTGCCGATCTAATGGATAGATACAACCAGTCGCTCTCAAGGCTCAAATGTTATCTTTTAGATCTGCCCCCCACCACTCGCCGTAACGAGGTAAAATTTAAACCTTCCCTTCGTTCCCTGGCACAACCACTGTCGTTTATTTTGACGATAAAACTGTTTCTCGGAAAACTCTGCCAAACATCCAATGAATGAGAACATCCAATGAACCTTTCTTTTACAAAAAAGACTCTCGTCTACTTCAACGACTTTGCCAGGCATTCCATTTTTTTTAACTTGACCTGTATAACATGTTATGGCCACAAACCTCTCTTAAACATTTGTTCCTCGCTACCATAGTTTCCTTGGATAGTTTCAGCTGCTCTTTGCTCCACTTTATCGTTGTTAAATTATGGGACTACCCATAAATAAATTTTAAAGCCGTTAAAACATAAAATCCTCGACCCCACTAACGACGTTTCTTTCCTTATAGAAACTTTTTTATTACAAGTGGTACGAAAGCAACTCCATTTCGCCTTCCTGTCTAACTTCGTTTGATTACCTTCTTTACACACAATTTCACGTTTTGAATTATCCCAGCGTTTTGAAAATATTTAATATCAACTTCTTTTGAAGACGGTTATTCCCAAAATGTAATAACATCCATATTTGACGGAAATAAAACAAATGGAACAAAAATAAACAATGGAATAACTCAAAGCTTTCACGAGATAAGAAGGGAGGTTTCGTCCAGGCCTCCTATCAGACAAGTACCTATATTTCACTATGTTTCTTTGTCTAAAATCAATTTGTGTTTATACGCGTATACGCACGATCAAAAACATTGTGAATATGAGCGATTAAAAGAGTATTTTTCCTTGGTTCGTAAATGTTCCATTTTCTATGCGACTCCAGATAGAGGAATGTCACTTGATCGCTATGGGAAGGTTTGAAGATTTAGGAAATTTTATTTATTTTTTAAATATCTCATTCCAATGGTTTCAGAATTAAGCCAATAATTCATCAACTCTAAGATTTTCACTAGCACAACTAACAACGAATGATTAAACTTATAACCCCTACCACCAAACCGATTCTCAATATAATAAAAAAATGATTATTATCATTATTATAAATATAATTGGACTATGCTATTATAAATAGAAATGATGTTCTCAGAATGTGAGCTTACTTAGTTCTTTGATTTCCGTTATGA